AGTATAAAGCTACGCATAATATTAGTCCTTGGAGTTACTTGTAAAAATGTTAAAACATTTCTTCTTTCTTCCCATGAAACAGATTCCTAGATGAGGAAAAAAGTCCTCTGTGTCCTCCCTGCTTGAATATGTGAAGTCTAGTTCTACTTTCCCACATGGAAAAATATTTCACGGAGCCAATGGCTAAAATTATGTGGTAGTATATGAATATAATATTGCTCAGAGTAAAATGAAGAGATATCAACATAGTTTGTTTTCACTGGTCTCTCAGTTGTGTAGTGTCCTATAATTTCTCACATTTCTTAAAATAAAGATTAAACCATTTGGATTGTAGCTTTCCTAAGATAGCTAACAATTGGTTTCATAATAGTGTTGAGTACCTTGGATACTTTTTCTTCCATTCTTGAGATACTTTGCTAAGGAGGACATTTTCCAGCTCCATCCATGTAAACATGAAGGAGGCAAGGTCTCCATCTTTCTTTGTGGCTGTATAGTATTCCATGGTGTACATATACCACAATTTATTGATCCATTCATGGGTCGATGGGCACTTGGGCTCCTTCCATGACCTAGGGGGGAGGGGGGTAGTGGAGGGGGCAGATGGGTGAAGAGAATGATATTGTGGGGATCAAGCCTATAATTTATCCTATTTGGGTACAGGTGAATTTGTCTAAAGGTTGAATATAAATGTCTTAACACAACAATTATGAGAAAGACATGATGGCTATGTTAGCCACTTTGATGAGAGTTTTCCAAACTGCATATAGAAGTAACACACTGTATCCTATTAGAGAATTAATGTACACAACTATGATCTAATAAAAAGCAAATAAAAAAATAAAGATTAAACCAAAATAGGGAATGAAATTAACTCAATTTTCAAGTCTTAACATTCCATTGCATTAGAAACTTCTCAGAACTAAGAATACATGTTGCAGTGACAAGCTACATCTTTGATAAATTTTCCTCTATCACTGCCCATAAAGATGTTGGTATTTGCTTTTTTTACATTTGAAGGAGTAGAATTAGGAGAAAACATGGAAATATGTGTACTTCAAAAACTTATATAACTAATAGTAATAGTAGCTAATATTTATTGAGTGTAAAGGGCTGGTATTAGTTGGTTGAATTTAGCTGAAAGCAATAGAAAGTAAACCTGAAACTGGCAAAAAAAAAAAAAATGTGAAATATAGAATATATAATAAAAGGGTTTCATAAATCTAAATAGGCTTAGTTTAAGATCTGTCATAATCCAATTTTTCTTCAGATTCGGAGATTGTTTTGGCTCTAGAAAGGAGATGTCTATGGTAGCTTTGGGTATCACATAAACATATAATAATATCAATATTATGCAGTCTTTAAAAAAGATGAAGACTTTACTTTTTTTATATTTACATGGATTTAACTGGAACATATTCTTCTTAGTAAAGTATGTCAAGAATGGCAGAAAAAGTATCCAATGTATTCAGCTCTACTATGAAACCAATATATAATTACCCACATGTCCAGATGGAAGCTATAACTCAAATACAGCCCAAGATGAAGGAGGACGAGAAAGGGAAGAGACAGGATGGGTGGAAGGAGGGTAATCAATGTACCCTTGCAAAACCTATGGTGCATTTTACAAGGGTACATGTCAAATCTATTAAGTGTAGAGTATAAGTCTTAACCCAAGAAAGTGGGGGGAAAGCTATGTTAACCAGTTCGTTGTATTTCAAATTGCATATAAAACCCACATTGTACCCCATAAATGCATTAATGTATACAGCTATGACTTAATTAAAAAATAAACATATAATGGGCAGTGCCTGTGGCTCATGAGTAGGGCGCTAGCCCCATATATGGAGGTTGGCAGGTTTGAACCCAAACTGCAACAACAACAAAAAAAACCAGCCAGGCGTGGTGGCAGGCACCTATAGTCCCAGCTACTCAGGAGGCTGAGGCAAGAGAATTGCCTAAGCCCAAGAGCTGGTGGTTGATGTAAGCTGTGATGCCACTGCACCCTACCGGGGCGACAAAATGAGACTCTGTCTCTAAAAAAAAAGTAAATTAAATAAATAAATGAATAAATAATAATATCGAGAGATAAGTCAGTAAGTACATGTAATAGAGTGCACACTCTCGTGGCTAGCTATTCATATTAGTCAATGTTCATCTACTGACTCTTCAATAGGAAAGTAAGAAAAGTTTCCTCTGACTCTTCTAGGCCTAATTAATTGGAATTAATCCATCTGGTCATTTCAGAACAAATATCTGCCACTAGAGAATATTATGCATGGATAGAGTTTAAGGCTGGGTGCCTAAATTAATTACTAAGCTAAGAAATGGGTGGATTAACAGGATTGGCTCAAAATGATCAGACCCCATCCAGTGAGCTAAACTTTTGTCAGTATTCCAGATTGCCTGGTATTTAGACAATGTTGGTTGGGGTCGGGGTGGTAGAATGGTTATTAAAAGAAAGCCCCAATATCCAAAATCCACTCTGGTATTTTACACTTAATGGCTCATTTAATCCTCACTAGGATCCAATGAGATAGGTTTCATGAAAGCCTCTTTACTAATCTTTGTTTATTTTCCTTAACTCTTATGGTTTGAATGACATCTTATTGAAATAAAATCTCCTGAAATTTAACCTTTCACTTTCTGTCCTAATTTATTGTATCCTAGAAATTAAGAGATCTTAACCAAGAACTGGGAAATTGGTCCTGGTATTCACAGCATGTAGTACACACATTCCTGCCCTCTTTTTTTTTTTTTTAGAGACAGAGTCTCACTTTGTCGCCCTTGGTAGAGAGCCGCGGTGTTACAGTTCACAGCAACTCCAGTTCTTGGGCTTAGGCGATTCTCTTGCCTCAGCCTCATTCCTGCCCTCTTAATGTTATTTCTCTTACTTAGATTTTCCTTGGTCCCATCTCTGATCAAATACTCCAAGGCCTAAACCAACTATCTGTCTTCCTAGAACTTTCATTTCAGTTTGTATCTAGTCTCTCATGGTATCATTTAAAAAAAAATTTAATATATAAAATCTCATTTGCATTGTAATTGTTTTTGTGACTTTCCCTATCCCTGCTTCGAGAATGTAGGTTTCTTAAAATAAGGAACCTTGCCATTATCATCTTTCAGTCTTTAGTATTTTATTGATAGTAGGAACTTAATAAACGCTCTTTGAATTTTGTTGAATTAAATGGAACACTGAGAAGCTCCAAACCCTAGGCTTTTCTTTCTTCTAAAGGGGAAAAATTGTAGATATTGTGTTCATGTAATGGAAATTGGCTAACCAGAAATATGTAGGAAGGTATACATTATGATCTAGGAAGGATTTAAAATCAAATCAAATTTTAAGTAGTTAAGTAGGACTTTATGAAGCTGGAATGTTAATCTACATAATTCTTGACATATACTTTCATCTCTGCCCTAAAGTGAAGCGTGTTCAAATTATGTTCATTTCCTTGAATGGATCTGATTTTCTCAACTCAGATACCTACGAAAATAATTACTGGTTGCTATGGCCTTGAAAGCTTTGCTCAACACTCAAATTTGAACTTTCAGTTGAAAAGTCAGTTTCTTAAAGAGGCCTTCCCTATCACTTTAGACTTGATGACACTACTCCATTTTATCCTTCTACCACATTTGAGGTTATTAGTTTAATGTCTCTCTTAAATGGTAGATGAACTCTACACTAGAACAAGAACTGCATTTATTTTATTTACCACAAAATCCACAGCACCCCATGCTATGTGACACAATATATTCAAAACAAGAATAAAGTAATACATCAGTGGTGCCTATTTTCTTAGGGTAGTCTGCTCAATTGATTCTAAGTTTCTAGTAACCAAGCCAAAGAATTTTAAGATTCATGGTATCCCTGAGTAAAATAACTATTTCAGGATGAAATAAAAGTTTGGGGTAACTGATAAAAATCAATAATAAAACTGAATAACAGTATGAGCCCCAATGCTTTATTTTTCTAAAAGGTACAGAAATGCTCACTTTAATAAATGAAGAAAGACTCCTCACTTCCAATTTTCTCTTCCCTTTTTGTAAAATAAAACATCTTTTGAATAATTATAGGAATATCTTTACTAATGATTTTACAATTGGAAATAAATCAGCTTAAAAGAGTTATTCTATCATTAACTTTAGTAAGTTAACTATTATTGTGGGTTTGTAGACAACTCCTAGGAGTTGGAAAATAAATATTTGTTAAACAAATCAATGAGTGGATAATCTAGATGACTTTCATGAGATGGGCCCTTCTTCCCATCTCTTCTTTCTATTGTCTTTAGACAAACAATTGTCATTGCTATATATTTTTAAATGCCATTTCCTTTAGTTCATTATTTTTGAAATAATTATTGCTTTAACTTACAGTCAACTAAGCTATTTTGCTACAGAAATTACAAAGACAAAAAGTTCATGGAACTATAAAAGAAGATCCTAAGTCCTTTTGCAAAGTTTAAGAAGTATTAATCTTTCAATTTATTTTTTGTTTTATTTAATATGTGCTTCAGTTCTAATAAATGATAGTCAATGTGAAGGGCTAAAATTTAGAATAGTGCCTGGTCTTAATAGGAGGTCAGGGAGAGCACTCTTCGCAAACTGAATTGTTCTTAAAATTTCATTTAGTAACTGTTCCTCACATATCTCTGGAAACAGAGTCCCCTTTTAGGCAAAGCTCAGAAAATTTCTATTTAGGGATATTTCCAAAGCGAAAAGACGTGTGGAGACCTTCAGGGCTGGCAGTATCCGGTATATGGCTCCAGGAAATCTCGCCGGGATGCCCTATGAGCTTCCTCCACTGGGGTCGCACAAGTAAAATAGCGCAGGTTTTTACTCTCGTTCAAGTTTCCCAGAATCCAAGAACCCGGAAAACCGCTATGAGATTGACATTCACTTTGACCAATTGCACTGTGAAGAGGCGTGGCATCTCGCCGCCTCTCCTATCCGCACGCAGAGAGTCACCGTCTCCAAGTTGAAAGCGGAAGTTGGTCTCAGCGAGCTCCATGGAACTGCTATTGCAGCACCTGGAGCGCTTTTCCGAGGTTCTGGCGGTCTCGCGCACTACCCACGTCAGCACCTGGGACCCTGTCACAGTGCGCAGGGCCCTGCAGTGGGGTCGCTACCTGCGCCACGTCTACCTGCGCTTTGCTCGCCACGGCCGCGTCCGCACGGCTCTGCAGCGGCGGCTTTGCGACCAATGGAAGCAGGAGGGTGGCTTTGGGCCCGGTCCAGGCCCGGGGTTGACAAACTTTCAGGCCCTCGAACACTGTGACATCCTGCTGTCTCTGCGCCTGCTGGAGAACCGAGACCTCGGAGACGCCGCTAGCCACCACCTGCTGCAGCAGCTACTTCCGGGCTCGGGTGTCCCGGACGCCCAGGACGAGACGCTCCAAGACCGTCTGGCCTGCCTCGCCCGCCGCCGGTCAGCGGTGCACATGCTGCGCTTCTATTGCTATAAAGAGAACCCGAATCTTCCCGAGGACGCGCTGATGAAGACCCAGGCGGAGCTGCTGCTGGAGCGGCTGCAGGAGGTGGGGTTGGCCGAAGCGGAGGGGCCCAACAAGTTTCTCAACAGCTTGTGGGAGCGCTTGCCCCAGAACAACTTCCTGAAGGTGATAGCGGCGGCGCTGTGCTTGCAGCCCCCTGGGCCTCCGCGGCCCGGAGAAGAGGAGTGGGACCAGGGCAGCCCCAGAACTCCTGGAGAGGGGAGTCAAGAGCTAGTCCGTTGGCTTCTGGGGAAATCGGAAATAATGGCTGTCTTTTGCCGTCACCTCCCAGCTGGCGTCTTAACTTTGGTGGCAAGCCGTCACCCAGCGCTCTCTCGTGTCTATCTGGGTCTGCTCACAGACTGGGGTCAACATCTGCACTATGACCTTCAAAAAGGCGTTTGGGTTGGAGGTGAATCCCAAGATGCGTCCTGGGAGGAGCTGTATGATAGGTTTCAAAGCCTCTGTCAGGCCCCTCCACCTCTGAAAGATGAAGTTCTAACTGTTCTAAAATCTTGCAAGGCTCAGGATGGAGATTTCGAAGTCGCTGGTCTTAGTATCTGGACAGACCTGTTGTTAGCCCTACAGAGTGGTGCGTGATGCTACATTTAGGAAAAGACAAGTTTTAGGTCTGAGTCCAGGCCCCAGATCTCAGTGGGCAGCGCTCTTATTAATTACCTGAATAGTTTACAAAACGAAAATTTTGTATTTCTCTCCAAGTCTTGTGTGCCTTCATGTGTCCCAAGTATTATTGTTTTAGGTGCTAATTTTGAGTGATTTGTTATACAATAACAAATACGCAAAGTAATTGGTTTGTAGTCCCATGGATTTTCTGGGCAGAGGAGGTGACATATTGGAAGTACTATTGTAAAGCCGTGAAATTAGCATTAGTTTGCTTTTGAAAGGCCTCTTTCTGAGTATGATGAAAACATCTGCTTTTCAAAGAAAAGATACCCTTTTTCTATCAGTATGATTTATTTTTTAAGTCCCTCCCCCCACAATAAGTGAAGAGTTTTCTTGGCCCAACAGTATGTGATAGTATCAGAAATGTTAGTTTATAAAGGTAACTGATCTAATTGGAGTTTAAACTCTGGACTTTGGCCTTGTTAACCTACTATTGCCACCAGTTAACCAGCCTCATCATGCATTATAATTGTGTTATTCTGAAAGTTTGTTCCTCATTTCTACAGATTTTTATTGTATCAAAGTAAAAGACTACATAATTTTAACTCACAAAATATTTAAAATATGACAAATTCAGGTATACCATGTCTGTCCTTGAATATCAATTTAGCATTTGATGGTAAAAAGATCAAGTTTCTGAATTAGAAGATCCAGGTTTTAGTGTTCCTTCTGTCCTTAACTAGGTTAATAAATCACCAGTCACTTAGAGTTACATTTGCCTTATGTTAAGTGTTTAAACTAAAATACTTAAATTTACTTATTTTTCCCTTGATGGCTGCCCTGTGGAGACAATTTACAGTATTTGTGTGTAACAACCTAACTTTGTTAGTTTATCCATTTGCTCCACAACTGGTAAAGTGATTCTCAGTAACCAAACTTCAGAGTGAATTATTCATTTTTATTAGGGAGATAAAACTTCTCAGTGATAAAGATGTTTTTGTTTACATTCAGGTTAGCTGATAGCAAGATTTTTATGGAAGACATATTTTTGATTATCAAAAAGTTCATTTCTAATTCCAGAATGGAATTCGAGCAAAAATTTGTGTAATCTTGTATAATCTTTCATTCTGTAGTAGAACTTGGAGGTAAATTATTATTACACCTATAAATACACTTTTCTAGATAATCTTGAGTGAACACTGTAAAACTCATTTCTGTGGCCTGATTCTTTTTTCTAGTTTTAATCCATGTAAACCATCTTTTTGATTCCATTTGTTATAAATATAAGAATAAAGTCAATTCCTTCTGTCAGTTACATGAAAGTCCCTTTCTAAGAAACAGTCTAATGAAGAATTCTACCGTGGCAAGTCTTAATGTTAGTTGTAGTTTTGGAAAATAACAGTTTGTGAACTCTTTCTCTATATTACATCTCACACTATGATTTAAAAAATAATCATATATAGACTTAACATTTTAAAATCTGTTTTTATACTTAACCATTTATTAAGCTCATATTTAAGGTCCATGATACATGTGTTACATACATAATCTTCATAACTGATATACTATTCTTATGAAGATAAAAGATTAAGTAAAATGCCCAGAGGTACACAGAAAAGCAACATGAGAGTAAAGTAAAGGCTTTATTATTATTTTACAACTGAATGAAGTGTCTGCAATGTCATAGGTTCTAATGTTTGAATAAATGAAACTATTAATAGCATTAGAATCTTACCCTGTATGCTTTCTCTTATTTTGCACACTGCTAAGGACTTGAAAAGATGCTATTGAACATGGTAATCTTACCTCTCCAGGAATCTATATATAGGATGGGAGAGAGGGACTATGTAGGAAAATACTTGATGAAATCTAGAAATGTTTATTTTGTGGGGATTTTTTTCCCCTGTCATAATGAAATGAGGGTTCAGTATTGAAGTCTCCCACTATGATTTTCAGCAAATTATCAATTATTATTTTATGCAATTTGAGCAATTTTATAGCACACAAAGAAATAGAGAATTATTATACCATCTTAATTGAAATTATTTATAGTGAATTGCTTTTCTGCTTTAAAGTATTTTTTTCTGTTTTCATTATTAATACTGTTGACTTTTTGTCTGCTATCGTAATTTGTGCTTTCTATTTGTCTTGATTTCTCAGTGTTTCTCTTCTCCGACTTCCTCTATTTCTCCTTCTCCTAGTTGGGATGCTAAGTTCCATGCCTAATCTTTTACTGTCAAAACTTTTATCATATTTAACTTAAAGTGTGTCTAAAAATTAGTATCTTGATCTCCTTTTCTAATGATACAATGGACCTTACTTAGGAAACTAACTCTGATCTCTTATCTACAAAATCACAAGTTGTTATCCAGTTTTATAGTTTTGCTCTTTGAAGAAAAAAAAATCCACAAATTAGAACACTAATATTATATATACACAATTGCATTTTTATTTATCTACCTGCTTAACTATTTCCATTTAATTTCATATGATTTCACCTCAGATGGAGTCAGTTTAGATACTGTTCCTTTTTTTGTTGTTTTTAGAAATTTCCTTGGAGAAAGTCTCTTGCTTTGTATACTTTTTCAGTTTTTATCTGGAAATATGCAAATATCTTACATCTTTTCCTTGTTGATGGAAGGTAGTTTTACTGGGTACATGATTCCAGATTAACATGTTAAAGATACTTTTTTCTGGTTTCCATTGTTGATGTTAAAGTTATTATCAGTCTACTTGTAGCTCTTTGTAAGTGGTCGCTTTTTTCTGATTTCTTTTAAGATAGTCCCAGCTTCAGTATCTGAAGTCACTATGGTGTGTGTCTAATTGTGAATTTCTTCCTTTTTCCCACATATTTTATGTTGTGTTTCATTATCTGTGTATTTGTGTTTTCATTGCTTCTGGAAAATTTCCAGCTATTTTTCCCCAGTGTTTTTCTACTTTTTCCTGTGATTCTGATCAGGCCTATGTTAGACCTTCTCATTCCCTTACAACACGTAACCTCTCTTTCCTGCTTTTTATCTCCATATCACTCTATGCTGCTATGGGAACTGTTCTTATCTAGCAGGATTCATATCCCCCATCTTTATTTTAGTAATAACATCCTACTCCCAGGTTTTAGTAGAAAATGGCCACTTAACTACATTTCGTAATTTCTCCTGCAGTTAGGTATGGCTACAATGTTAGATTTGGCTACTTGTATGTAAGCAGAAGTGATCTGTGCAACTTAGGATTCAGAGCTGAGAAATACAAGATTATTTTCCTTAAGGGTTCTGCTTTTCCCTTTTAAGAGACTGGAAAATCAGTGTGCTACTAGTGAGCTATTTTGAATCATATGGCTAAGGATGACTGAAACAAGCAATTCTAATAGACCCAAAGATAAAATCACTGTGAAATCACATGTTGAGAATGACAGAATAGAGCCCACCTGGCTAGCTTGTCCCGTTAGATAGGAAAGAAATACACTTCGTTTTTATCCAAGTCACTCTTCGGGATATCTTATCAACATCACCTATTATTGATAATCCTGTATGTTATTGGTATGGTCTTCATACTTTTGTCAGATCTGTGTCTGATGTTTAAATCATTGATTAAATTTTAAATTGTAACAATATTTTTTCTTCTAAAAGGTTCATATGTTTTTTTCTTCCAAGTCTGCTTCATCATTTTTAATTGTTTTTAATTTTTAATTATTTTGGATTCACAACTACATATTTATGGGGTACATATGATATTTTGATACAAGCATAAATGTTTTGATATTATGGTAATTAGGATGTCCATCACCTCAAGTATCTATTATTTCTATGTGTTTTGGCAATTTCATATTTCACACTTATTTTTTTATCCTTCCATTTTTATTTTTCATTATTGTTATTTAATAGTGTATTAATCATTTCAAAATCTGGAGTCCCTGGGAATCAAAACCTGTTCTGTTGATAGTCATGATGGTTTGTTTCTTTACATATTTGATAATTTGTTATTGTGAATTCCTATGTTTTATCTTAATTTTGGAAACCTGCAAGTATAAATAGGGTGTAAGCCCAGCACAGAAAGACAAATATTAACATTTTTACTAATATGAAGGAGCAAAGAATATGGATTTCATAAAATTAGAGAGTCGATTGGTAGTTACCAGAGGCAGGAGGAGGGAAGAGAGGTTGATCGATAGACACAAAAATATAGTTAGATAAAAGAAATAAGATTTAGTTTTCAATAAATCAGTAAAGCAGCTATTGTTTAGCTGGCCCAGGCTGGGTTCGAATCCACCAGCAAACCCGCCAACTTCCGTGTATGTGGGTGGCCCTGTAACCAACATGCTATGGGCAACAGGACTCACCCCACCTTTAAATGTTTGAGATTTCTCAGAGGTTAATAACTCTTCTCTGTGTAGTTCTCATCCCATGTGATCTTATCTATTCCCTTGGTTTTCAACCTACCCATGGACTGTTAGTTGCATAATTTACATCTGTAGCCCAGAGCATCAGGACCAATATCACCATCTGAATATCTCTCAAGGCTCTCAGATTGAACATGTCCAAAATAATTCTAAAATTCTCCACGGAACCCTGCTTATTCCCCATGTGTTTCTCACTGAGTAGAAACCTGGACAATATCCCTACTTTACAGTCTCTGACCCCTCACATTGGTATGGATGTGTTGAAAGTAATTCTCCCAAAGTACACTTTGCTTTTTTTTTTAAAAAAAAAAAAAAAAGATACTTTACCGCAGCATTTAAAAAGTAATTGCAGGCAAGTGTGCAAACACACAATTTATCTGTACTTACATGTAGGAACTCCTACACTTTCACATGAAGTTTTTCAGAAAAAGTCCTTCTAGCTTTAAAACTTACACATTGCTAACTCAAGTTATCTGCAAAAGTGAAAGTCTATAAAATAAAGCAATTTGGTGATTTGAAGAAGAAATGTCTCTAAAAATGTGTCTAGGGCCTAAAGTTTATTCTCATTTTGTTTATTAAAGTAAAGTGGTTCAAGATACAATGGCGTTTATTTACTTTGCTTAGTTTGGAAATACCTCCTGAGCCATAGAGGTAAACTGAATTGGACCTGCATATTCTCCACATATTCTCAACCATCCACTCAGAACGTTCCCTAAGACATTTTCCTTTTGTTAAGGAAATCAATATATTTACTTTCTTTATGCTCAAGTCAAGTATCTAAAAAAGATTTTATTATATGTTTATCATGATTTTATGTTTACCATAATTTTGTGTTTAACATTTTTTTAAATATTAAAAATTGAGTGTATACTTAATCACTATTGGTATGTCAGACATTATATAAATTGAGCCAGGTATAATATTTCATTTCAGCCAGTGCTAAAACACTGGTTTTCGACCACTTATTGCTGCAAATCTCCCTTTTCCTACCTAACCCAATTCAAGGTGCCCTTAAGGACACAAATGACTGATAATTGTTTAGAGTACTGACTGAAACTGCAGACCTCCATGCTGTATCCAAATATTCAAATGGCTTTCCAACATAAAATCTTTTACTAGGCTGATATCAAGTTTTCCTCACACTGTCTTCTAGAGTCTTTACTGTTTTGTGTTTTAAATTTAAGTCTTTTATCCAGTGTGAGTCAATTTTTGTAAGTGGTTAGAGATGCAGGTCTAGTTTCTGTCTTCTACATGTGGCTAACCAGTTCTCCTAGCACCACTTATTAAACAGGGATTCTTTTCTCCAGCTTTTGTTTGGTTTATTAAAGATCAGATGGCGATCTGTAGTAACTTTCATCTCTAGATTCTCTATTCTATTCCATAGATCTGTGTCTCTATTTCTGTGCTAATATCATGCTGTTTTGATCACTATAGATTTGCATGAGAATGTTTACCACAGTTCAATTCACAATCACCAAAATGTGGAATCCACCCAAGTGCCCAATGACTTATGAATAAATTAACAAACTGTGGTATATGTATACCATGGAATACTGGTCAGCTATAAAAAATGATGGGAAACTTTATACCTTTTTTTATTAACCTGGATGCAGTTGAGGAACATTCTCCTTGGTAAAGTATCACAAGAATGGAAAAGCAAGTATCCCAGTGTACTCAGTACTAATAGGAAGGCGGTAGATGAACAACTACATGCCCACACAAGAGAAAAACACAATTAAATTCAAGTGGGTGGGGTGGGGGGATGGTAGGAGGGTGAGGGATTGGTGTGGTCTCACCTAATGAGCACAGTGTAAGGGTATGTGGCCACCTATTGGGTGGAGGGCTCAACTACAGCTTGGGCTTAAAACCAAACAATGTAACCTAATCATTTGTTCCCTCATATTCACCTGAAATTAAAAAAAAAAAAAAAAAAAAAAGCTTTTCAACAAAAAGTAGACCCAACGAAGTCACAACAAACATCACTTAACTTTCAAATTAACAAATAGTTTTCATTTCTTCAAATTATTAAATACTCAGTAGTTAGAGTTTTACAAAATAATGTACATTTTTAAGTACATGTAATTGAAGATTCGTGAATGTGGCCTTATTGAATTACAATTAATGCAAACTTCTGACATGTAAAGTTTCTGCACCCCTAGGGTGGGGAACCATAAAGTTTTGTTTGCCCAAGGAAGATGAGCTTTATGCTTAATGTTCTGTGTAACTATGTCCCCTTTTATTCTATAAGGTGCCCCTGTTTGACTGAGATCCATTTACAGGGACACCCTGGTCCCAGCTATCATATCTCTGCCATATTATTCTGTCTCTTGGCTATGTTCTTTGCTTTCTAAATTGCACCAGTACAATCCACAATCCACCTAACTGCCCAAGTAGTGAACTTTGAGTCACATTCACTGAGAAACTTCAAACAACTGAAAGACAACTTACACAGACTCACACCACAACATCTATTTATACCAGCATTTATACCTACGTTTTACCTTCTGCTTGTTTTCAGGGTAGTTATTTGATATTAAATCAATTTCTATACTTACATCTCACATCCCATTTCTTCTCGCCTACTCAAGATCATGGCTCTAGCAATTCCCTTCTTTCTCCCTTACATCTCCAGTGTACATATCTGCTGCTGTTTCTGTCACCTGAGACAAAGAAAGCAAGTAAACTCTCATTTTACCTACTAGATACCTCTTCATTTACTTGCTTTCTTTTCTCTTAAGATTATTTGTATCTGGACTTTCCAACTAACCTTCCCATTCCAACCAACCGTGCCCTTTCAAGGAGGCCTAGGGTGTTACACATTGCCAAATCCAATGGTCAGTTCTCAGATCTTACCTTGATTAACCAATCAGCAAAAATTTGATACCATTAATAATTCCTTTCTGCTTGTTACAGTTCCTCCATTTGGCTTCCAGGATACTGCCCTTTCTTGGTTTTCTTCTACCTTTATTGTCACTCCTTCAAAATATCTTTCTCCTGTCTATAAACCCTTGATATTG